TACGAAACATACTAAAATTATTTTTTCTTAGAATTTCAAAGCTGAAAGTCTGACACTTTCACAAACGACTGGTAGTCCAATAGGAATGATATTGTTTATTGATAATGAACGTATAAAGTATATAATGAACAGATATAAACGAACAAGACTAGCAAAGGTATTTAACTATTTTGATTATCCTTATCATAAAAATGACAATTTGTGACGCGTTATTAAATATGTCCGTTACTAAATAGATCGAAAAATACGTGTTTTCCATTATTGAAAATGCAGAATATATGGCAAGACTATCACTTCCAGAAAAGGAATTCGCTGAACGGTATATTTTTCTTCAGTATAATCATGGTTGAGATTTCTTATTGCTAATCACCGTACTTTAAATTAGATATAAGCGGTTAATCGAAGAGCATGAACACGCGTCGTTTTTACATGTACTCCCCCAAGAATCATTAGATGTTCTAAAAGAGACTGAAAATGGTTAACATTGCTTATTAATTTTACAAGAATTCTATTTTTGTCCGTGTTAAAGTCACTGTGAAGGTCACATGACTAAATTACCATTGGCCACTGCTTAATAATACCCTTGGATTAAGATCTGGTATTACTCACCATCCATACTGGCCTGTTTTTGAATAACTACAGTATATTGATTTACTACTCTTAATATGATATATCCCCCAAACAGGTTCATTGCTCAACATTCCATTGGCAATCCTGCCCCAAATACAGCACCAATATAGTACCTGGTTCTTCACATACTGTACTATTCAATTTTAAAATGGATTTCTTGGGGTACTGTAAGCAGTGGCCAACGGTATTAATATTGGATGACTTTAACGTAGGTCAAAATAGAATTCACTTAAATTTTTAAAAGTAATCAAAATTTAATTTTCAATCTGTAAGGTACCGAAACGTCTTGTGCAACAATCGAACATCCTGATTTAAATCAAGCTATATTTTGTCGACTTATCAAACATGTGGGAAGTTATTCGTTTCCGTCAACGTAAATTTTATCTGCTTCACGTTATGATTTTTAAGTTCATTATTTTCGTCTTTTTCTCACGTTATTCCTTAAAATCTAGTCCTCGTGACACTGAAATTTTAAATAAAGATGACGCATATCTGGTCAAATATTCGGATGTACGGAAACTGTTAGAAGATCATTCCATCGAACTGATTTAAATCGGATGTCTGAAATAAGGTTTCTCGTTAATTACTTAATAAAGGTCCAAATAATTTGTGGTATATATCATGTCCAGGGTGTAATGTCGAGTTACGTGAGTTAAGGTTATTATGCATGGTAATGTGTGCATATATATTATATGTTATTTCGTAGTTATACGTACGTACGTACAGTATCTGTTAAACAGAATAATAAAAATTATATGTGGGGACGCCCACAGCAAAAGCAGGGGATGGGACTATATATTATATAGTCCCATCCCCTGCTTTTGCTGTGGGCGCTCCTATATATGTACGTACAAATATTTACACTATAAATATTTAAACTAAAAAATTTCTTAAGATTTATATTTAACCAGAATAAAGATTTTTTTTAAAAAAAAAACCTATGCGTATACTCTAAGCAGTATACGTAATCCTAAATTTTATACGTATCGATATGTCAAACAATACATGTAACAATACAGCCTACACTTCCCGATTTGAAGCCGGTTTTATTTTAATATAAAATCGGTTTGAATTAATTCTGGAATGCTATGTACCGAGTATTACCAATTTGTTAAAAAAGATTCGGCTATATTTATTTAGTAAATCTTCTAAATAAAGTATTCAGTTCTTCATACAGCATCCACGAGTATTACTCAATTTTAGAATGTTCTTGAGTAAGACCCGGGTACTGTAAGATACATGAGATCCATTTGAGTTGACCAGATAC